TGCAGCCCAGGATGCTCTTGGCCTTCGCTGCTGCCAGGGTCGCTGCGGGCTCATGCTCCGCTTGCTGCCCACCGACCCCCGGGGCCTTCTCAGCAGACCAGACCCAGCCAGGCTGTCCCAGCCTGTGCTGGTGCCAGGGGCTCTCCCTTGCCAGGGGCAGGACTTGCGATTTGTCCTTCCTGAATTTCGTAAGGTTGGACCATTCCTCCAGCCTATCTAGGCTCCTCTGAATGTCAGCCTGAGCCTTGAAAGTATTGAATGGTAGCTCCAAATTGGTATCATCTGTGAACTCAGTGAGCGGGCATTCTAAGTCATTGATGAAGTTGTTAGAAAGGACCAGTCCCAGGACAGAACCCTGCAACACTTCCTACTGGCCTCCATGTACAGTATAACACATTGGTAACTACCTTTCCGAGCCTGACCATCCAGTCAGTTTATTTTACTTACCTGGTTGTCCACCCTTCATAGCTGTAATGTCCTAACTAGGGTACAATAATAACTGGGGCAGACTTTCAAAAGCCTCACTGAAGTCAAAGTAAATGACATCTTGTGTCCTCCCATTGTCTGTAATTCCAGATATTTTATCACAGAAGGTAATCACGTTGGTCAGGCATCATTCACCCTTGATAAATCCATGCTGATTGTTTCCCATTATCTTCTCCTTCATGGGCCTTTGAACGTCTTCCAAGAGGACGTGCTCCGTCATTTTCTCAGGGACTGAATGGAGGCTGAGCAGTCCATAATTGACCAGACTGTCCCTTTGGCCTCTTTTTTTGAAGACAAGTGCAACACTTGCATTCCCCCAGTCACTGAGGATCTCCCCTGTCTTCATAACCTTTCAAACATGGCAGGGGGGTGACTTTGCAAGAGAATCAGATAGTTCTCTCTGCACCTATGGATGCAGCCCATCTTGCTGCCCTTTGTCCCTTGTAAGCCTCAACGAAAGCTGAGCTTTGGCTTTCCTGTCACAGGAAGCCTGACACATTTCCTGGCCCAGACAACATTTCTAAATTTCTTCTTTGTAGCCTGTCCTTGCTTCCAACTCTTCTATACAGCTTTTCGCACTGGAGCTCCATCACAAGTAACCTGTCTAGCCAAGTCAGGCTTCTTACCTTCCTAAGTATCAGGGGAGATCATTCCTGCATTTGGAGAATACTGTCCTTAAACACCAGCAAGCTTTCCTGAGTAACTGTACCCTTCAGACCTGGCTCCCATGGGATCTCATCAGCAGCAGATCCAACTGTGTGCCACCCTTAGTTGTCCTATCCAGTAGTTATCCCTGACACCCTCTAGGAGTCTTCACTGCTTCCATCCTGCCAGCAGATGTCAGGGTCATCAAAGTTCCCCTTTCAGACGTATCAGACCCTTCAGAATTGTTCACAGGACTTCTGACATCCTCGCCCTGCTGCAGCCCTAAATCCCTTAAGATTCTAAGTTTCTCAACTCTTAGGACTAACAATCCCCTTTAGTTCTCAGAAAGCCTCAATATGTTAAAAACAAAATCTGGCATTTCCATTTTATGCAAAATTTTGATGTGTTTTCTCTGGGGGGAAAAAACCAACCTCCATTTTTTCAAACTTTCTGATTTTCATGCAAAACTAATTCTAGGTTTTAAATTACTCTACTTCACCTTATTCATCAAGCTCAAGGCATAATTACTTGATTCTGCCTTCTTTAAAACACTGAATATAATGAATCCACAGCTTTCCTCTCTTACGCCCCCCAAACCCGTGAGACTCTGTCCCCCTGAACCCCAGGAGAGAAAAAGAAAAAAAGAATGAGACATTATCTGATAACTGTGAAGCAATCTGCACAACTTGGGGATGCTCATATGTTATGAAATTGGGGCTGTGTGAGAAAAAGGACTATATTCGCTGTTCGGGTTGTTCCCTTTTACTCTAGAATGCATGAAATGAAATGAAATTCTGTTCAATTTACTCATGTTCATTTCATGCTGAAGGCCTCTCAAACAATGGAGTTTAGAAAAGTCTCCTTCTTTCATCATCCTTCCAAATTTCTACAAGGAGATTAAAATCTACTCATCTTGCAGCATATCTAAGTCTGGTTCATGTTCTCCTTTACCAGCTTAGCTTGTTTGCTAGTATGTATCACACCGTCTGTTTTTTTGGGTTGAGACAGGAGATGTGTGCATGGACTAACTCTATGCCAGAGCTTGTTGAAGCTCTGTTCATAATTTCATTATTATTTTAATCTGGGTCTATCCAGATCTAATCTATTTAATCTAATCTAGTAGACATAGCATGTGATTTTTGTATACTGCAAGTTATTATTCAAAGAAAGATTTAAAGGATGCTTTAGAGAAGAAGAAAGCAATTTTTATCCTATGAAAGAAACTCTGATGTCTAAATATTTTGTCAACTTTGAGTGGGCTCATGAAAGGGCTGTGCTATAGAACTATGCCAATCAAACACTACAGCACCAACACCCCTATGCACTGTACTGTAAAACTGTCTTCCTAATAAAACTACATACCACAATCATGTTATGTTTAAAGTTTTGAGTATAAACGCTCTTCAGAACTGTACTATAAAAATAACTTTTTAAATGTTTATCATGTTTTTTCTAAATATGTTTATCAACCTTAGTAAGAATACAACTTGTTTCTTCTATTATTTTACAGAGAAACAGTTGTTAATATTTCATTAGCTATTAATATTCTAATATTGTTAACAGGGATAACATTTTAATGTATTTTTTAAAACTAGGACTGAATACTTTTAAAGTATTAGCTAAAAATACAGTATGTATTATTAATATTAAGCATAAGTAATGTAATCTCTACATCATACACCTAGAACGCATAATTAATAAATGTAAAAAGTGTTATCACAGCTGACAGACTAGTATTTGCCAAGTAAGTGGTGACTGCATAGGATAATATTTCACAATTATTTTTAAACTGTTCCCAGTAACGGGAATGTTTAACTGGGCAAGTAGGATATATATGAATCAACTGATTTCCTACAAAGCAAGTATTTGTCAAGCTTGGAACTCAAGAACCATAAAAATCTGAGACCATATTGTTACCTCTCTTTTTCAACAATAACCAAAAACTTGCAAGCATAAAAGCTTAATTATATCAGGAAAAGGGTCTGATGATAGTGTTGGTAATTTCTTTGACTGTTACACTCTGTGTTAACAAACGGTATTTCCTCAGACACACGAAAGGACTGTGACACTTCAATTGTACTTCCAGACCTTGAACATGCCATTAACGCCTATACTCCTTCTTAGACTTCTCTCAGAGGCTAGCAGTGCTTCTCTGGGTGGTATTTCTGCTATTTTCAGAGTTACTTCTTGTCTTGACAGACACACTCTATTAAAACAATACCCAGCAAAGAAAGTGCTCCATTCTTAATGACCTCACACATACTTTTGCTGAGGACTGTGACATACATGTGTACTTTGCACAAATGTTCTTATAGCCAATATTTGGCTGAAATACAGATACTTCCCTAAAATTATCTCAAATGAATGAAGGCATTACAGTTAAATCACTATTTAACCCAGTATGTCAGGAATAGAGATTCTTTAACAGAGAATTAGGAAAACCCTTATAACCACGGCATTCAGAGTCCACCTTGTGAAAGAATGTAAGCCTGCACTACTTGAGGCAGTTATTCCACTGCCTTTGTTGCCAAGGGAGAAGGACACCGTCCCTCAGCAGATCAAGGCATTTTGGTGCCTTCCTCACAAATAACTAGGAGGAGACAGGAGTTCCTAGAGGTGGATTTCTGATGCTGGTTTTTTAGTCCTGTCTGATACAAGAGAAGAAATACGCCATTTCATACAAAGAAACCAAACCAACAGACAACAAGTTTTAAAACTCCTTAAAAATATAATGCTGAACCACACAGAAAACAATTTTAAGCTCTTCATGTTCTCGGTGCTTCATGATATGCAGTCACTAAGTGCACATCTTCCACGTGAACTGTGTAACAGAAAAATTACATGTGATCTAAGATGTTCTGCATTGTAATCTGTATGACAGTAACAGTGCTGAAAAGAATTTATGTGAGGGAAGAAACTTGATGGAAATTCAAGCACTAGGAACTGTATTAGTAAGCAGCACTTAAAATTAACCTAGTTTCTTTATAGTAAGAGAAAGTAAGAGTTGAGAAATGCTTCTATGATGATAAAATGGCCTTCATTTTGTGACAGAGGCATAATAACGATAGATAATGGGAACTTTAATATAACACTTTCTTCAGTAGCAAGGGCAGAGCTGTAGGCATTTATCATTACTGTTTTTCTTGTAACAAGTCTATTCAAATCATCTGTGTATCACGGACTGCATATTAGGAACAAATTAGCTTAGCTTCAATATTCACTGATGCATTTTATTGCATTCTGACTAAAGCCACACCTTGCAGACTTCTGAAAAGCTACCCTTTAATCTACTACATGCAAAATTACATTATAAATATTAAAATATATATGACAGTGGAAAGTTATTAAATTTTTTCCTGAATAGTATAGCTGCTTAGCCTCAAGCACGAAGTAGTAATAATTACCTCTTAGCTGTAATTAACTGGGCAAATAAATCGTTAAATTTTAGATGCTGATAAATAGGAGAAGGAAGCTAAGAAAAAACAGCAACTGTCAGCAATATTTTAACACTAAGGAATTCTGTATGAGATAAAATTACAGCAAACACATTTATAAAATATAAACTAAACAGAGACTATGAGACAACAGTAAAATAGCCTCTTAGAATGGTCAGAATTCACTTCAATATAAGGTATCAACAACCTCAGTATTTTAAACATTATTACCAATACAAAAATTACAGATCAAGCAGTATGTTTGAAGATAGGTACTTCTTACATAGTTTCAACCAAAGTACAAATTACAGTTGAAAAGGAAGAAAAAAGAACCATCTATTACAGGCAGAGAAGGTGATGTACATACAAAAGAAGTGGTGAGGCAGGGAACCGAAGAGAGTATGAAGAGAATGGAAAACTGAAGAGGACACTTACTGGGGAAAACCACATCACTTTAAGAATCCAAATTGTCAAAGAAAAATTCACAACTAGGATGATAAGCAGGAGGAGCACAAACAGGTAGAGGCAACGCTTTCTCCAGCCATAAATTCCAATTTTGTAGACATATTCATTCTTCGGCCTCTCTAGGCTAGTGCCTGGTGGTGTTGTAGTGTATTGTTCACGTACCATCTGCTATGTAAAGGAAAAAAAAGGACTGCTTAGTTGTTTGAGTTAAATTACAAATATTTATACAAAATCCCAAGGAAAATATGAAGATAAAATTGTAACAGTAAGTTACTAGAAACTTACGAAGTTTTACCTGGAAAACATCTTCATCGTGTCCCATTCAAATTGCACTTACATCTTACTTTCTGGTACACACGATGTGATGTTTTAATATATGAACTGCATCGACTGCCATTTTCAGGAGGCTTAAATTTATTCCACCCTATATAGAATGGCAACACTTTCCTCCCTTTTTTCATAATATTCTAATTCTCCAATCACCAACTATTTAATAGAATCATATCATAATCTGTGGCTCACAGAACAAGATTATTTTATTGTAAAAATAGTTACAAGTGGTAACGGTACCTTGTAAGCACAGGTTTAAAAACACTTCTACATATTCTTTCCTCAATTCTGTAATAAAATGCATTCTTTGTGCTGCAAAACTTAACTGTGTATCACTGGAATGCCAAAATATGTTAAGCTTCAGAATCTGTATATAAAGAAATAAAATGGTTCTTAATAATGTAAAGGAAATAATAATTTCTCAATTTATCAGATACATTAGCAATAAAAACATTACTTGCTGGGTTTAAACAACTTCCTTCACTTTATATTATAGTTCTTAATGAAGCATTCCTTGAATTTAAAACGAATCTTACCAGATTGCACTTCCTTAAAACATGAGGATATTCACTAACTTCCACTTTTACAGCACAGAGATCACCAACAATTCAAACTATTCATTAAAGCTTGCAATTTCAGCCAAGAGACTAAAATCTCACCAGCTGAAGTTGCTTATCTAAAACAACAGTAGGCAACATCTGTCTCATTTCCACCAATATAAACTGAAAAAAAACGAACCATAGGTGTCAAAAAGAAAATAGGTATTGTAAGTTCAAGCACTGCCCATGAGCCAGGTATATCCACAGGCATCTTATATCCAAAACCTGGTCAATTTCTAGAATATAACGTTCCCAAATCAGAGTGCCTTCAGACAGGTTTCACACGAAGTCTCCTCTCAATTCTGAATTTACTGCTGGAATGGAGATCACTGTGCTCTGCTCACACAACTTTCAAAACATGATTAAATTACATCCTTGCCCAGCTGCTGAATTACTCTAAGTCGTTAAAAGAACTTTTCAAGTCTCCTGCAGAGCTATCCTGTGTCTGTAACCACCTTGTGGCTCTCAGTTCCAACCCTCATCTTTAGAAAATGTCATCTTTTGTTCCTGTAGCTTCCTATCGAACTAAAAGACAGACAACACAATATAAGTTTACTATTGTACAGAAGTTCGTGTATTTTGCATATTTGTTGCTCATTTATATTAAAAAATTAGACTTGATCATCGGCAGTTCGTATTGTAACTGTGTTACAGTTCTTCTAATTGATTTTTTGCTGCTATCAGTCTCAGTTGCTCATAATACTGGGTATATAAATCTTGTCATCTGCTGAAAATACTGAAAATAGTATAGTGATTTATCAGTGGAGAATCATAGATTCTGAAAGAACTTGGCTTAACGTTACTGCAAAACATTGTAAATTTACAAGATGTTACTTAATACTCACCACATGAACTACGTTTGTTTAAAACTATCAGATCGTATTTTTCAGTTCTGTGTATTACTCAAGCACCTAGTCCGGACTATAGGATACTGTTTATATAGGAGTTGCTACTATTTTTTGCTGTTTTCCTGCTAATCGTTGTATAACAAAACGTATCACCCACATGGAAGTTGCCCTTTATCTTAAACCTACTTTACCATGCTCTGCCAAGTAAGACAAATTGGGACATTTATACATACAATGGGTTTCATTAAATGCTTAGAAAAACCTTTAGCTTTACTTCCACACAGATTTCTCCTGAACACTGTAACTGACAAGACAGGATGCAGTAACTGTTATCTGGTGACACCAACAGATATACTTTGAGAAGTAAGTGTGCAGCTCTTGCTCAGCTATAGTACCACGACCTAATACCCTAACACAGGGTATCCACCGAGTTTCTTACTGCTTCCTTCATTACACATACTCGTTAACTGTCAGTGTAACAACAAACAAGATCGATGACAGCCACAGACATTTCCGCAGTAACAACTGCTTCGTCTGTTCCTTGTGTTGCTGTCTGCTACATCTTAAAGGTAAATTTCATAGTAGAAACACCATTTGACAAAGAGTCAATTAATTCTCAGATCTTCACGTTTTTATGCCAGCCTCATCACCATAGTCTCTGAGGCTGGGATTGATCTCACTGTGCTAGATACCAACAGTTTAGCCTTCAATATTGGAGCCAGTCAACCTGGATTCCTTTATGGTCAACAGAGATAAACCTTCCCCTGCTGGGAATTACTTAATTTAGATGTGTATTTTAAACATCCAGTGAACTGCACCTTAGATGTGTTTATTTCTCTCCATAAAGAGAGAAATAAAGAGAGCATGCGATGACTTTCTCATATCTACATACCTACATGTTTTAGACATAAGCATTTGGTCAAATTAATTCCAACCAGAATGATTTCCAGAAGCCTGAAATTTAACAAGAAAATAGGATTCTTTTGATTCCCGTGCTCCTCTGTTCCATTTTTACCCTGCTGTAAAATGTTTATTGTGTGAGTTGAGGGTTTTATACATAATGTATTATGTACTGCTGTTTAATGAGGCAAGGGCAAAATGCATTATGCATTTCACCAAAAAGCCTATGAGTTTTGTGATTGTTTTCAGCCCTTCAGAAATTCCACAGGGGATATGTCCCAGCACAGCATTGTTCCCAGCACAAATCATTTTTTCCTGACAGAAGACAGTTCTGTTGTTCCTGAGCATTATTAACATTGCCAAAAATTGCTTTGGTCCTAGCAAACGGGTAATGCTAGCCTAGACAACTGACTGCTTTGAAAAGGATTACATTTTTCTACTTAAGATAGTATTTCATTATTTTTAAGAGACTTAGTGGCACTGTACCAAGTAATGACAGGGGAAATTCTTTAAGAATTTATACTGTTGTATTCTTTCTTCTGGAAGAATCAACCTTCCATATTACTGACTTACATGTTCATGTGCTGCAATCATATAGGAGAATAATCTCAGACCTGTCTGGAGAAGTCAGAGAGAAATTCTTTTATAGGTTTGGGCTGCTTTAGGAAGCTGGGCTGAAAGGAAAGCCTTCGACAGGCACATCTCACAGTTGGCTGGTGAATTCTGCTAGGATTCAAGAGAGATTCTTAGAAGGAAAACAACACATATCTAGTATTAGGATGAAAAATGTGATTTGTAAATGGAATAACCATGAAACTGTAAGTTGGTTGTGCAGGAGCATACTAAACAGACACCGAGAAAGAAGTGGTTACTTAGACACCTGGGTGTACACAAATTAGCTGGAGAAGCAAGAAGTTTGCAGAATGAACAATGACTTTGGTAACTGTTACCTTTATATTCTTTTACAAGGATGCAGCACACGGTGACAAAACTACAGAGAGTAATAAAAGTCCTGGCAACCTACAGTGTCGATAAAATGGCAATTTAGTTTCAGAATGAAAATTCTGATGTCATTCAAATAGGCTGTGAAAACATGTATTATTTGTGTTATGTCAGCAGTACCATAATAAAAAAAAATCTACTTACTGGAAGCAGAATTTCTTGGTGTTCCTATGTAAGGGCCCACAGTATCAGAAGTGAAGTAAGATTAAGGTCAACTACTCACACATTCCTTACAGATTTTTGTATGTGAGGCCATAATTCATGGGATTGAGCTCTATCATGGTAGTTTGCTATTTGAAAGTATTTTCCAATTATCATCATCTGTTTTACTGGAATCCATTTTTATCCAATTATTTCTCGCCTGTTTGCTGATTTAAAACAGATACCGAATATTGATTAGCTGCCAAAAGATTTTTTGCAGATTTTAAATGGTAAGATATAACTTGCGAATTGCTTGTACGCTGCAGACATTTTGACCACGTGAGATTTTCTCACGTGTTCAGGTGTTACTTCTAACTGATGCATGTAATGCAGGAAATTCACACCTATAGGAATACACATATGAGCCGCCGATGAAGGAGCTTTATGTTCTTTACACTGTGTTACTGAAGCTGCACTCTAAAAATACAGAGCCATGACAGAACATTTTCTTGGATCTATTCCACCTTTTTCCGTGCAAGATGTGGAGACTGGCCTCTGTGATGTGCATGAATCAGAGGTCCAGGAGACTTTTATATTAACACCTAGATATTGAAAAACTGTCCATCAATGTTCCCTTTGGGCTTAGGTTAGTTTGGGCATCAAGTTCAAAAAGCTATTCTGATAGGTCTGGAATATTCAATTAAGACAGCTGTGTTTTGAAGAAGGAATTTGCAAACTTACCAGTAAGCCTGCTTGGGAAAGCAAGCCTGAGTAGAAGCTTGTTAATGGTATTACTTTCAGGAATAATTTATCTGTAGGAATTACTGAAGAGAAAATACTATTTCCATTAAAATACGCAATCTCAGTTTATTTCAATTGTAAAAATATGTTTTCACTGTTTTTGCTCATAAATGGCTATGTTATTTTCTTGAACATAAATAAAATTCTCCTTAGTGCACAGTTCAGAACTGTATTGCTCCAGTGAAACAGTACTTTGTCAAGCTGTCATAAAGCCATTAATAATAATAAATTATTAGCATAATTTAAATAGAAAACTACTTGGTTAATTGTAATAACTATAATTCCATTAACAATTATAAAATTATTAGCATTTTATATTTTTGGACACTCTCCAACTGTGTTGGGATTTTCAGCAAAGAGACAAAAAGCTTAGCACTCAAGAGAACCTTTTCAAATCAGAGTTAAGAAGAACAGGTGAGGTTTTGTTAAGAAATTTGCACCACTGACACTCATACTATACACGTTCTTTTGAAAGGAAACTTCAGTCATCAGTGCTTCTACTCCTCTCTCTTTACAGGAAGTATATTCGTTCACATGCAAGAAAATT